TCTCATCAACTAAGGTTTGTAATTGTAATTTAGTATTCACACGACTTTTGATGTTTTTATACGGAAAAGAGCTTATCCTTCATTGAACCGGAATTTCCGGGACTGTTTTGAATTCCTTTGTCTCCTTTCTTCCAAATGATATGCATTCTTTCATGTTTTTTTCTTTGTTTTTTTTTTCTCTCCTCAACATAGAGAGTCTAAATGGAATAGAGAGAGAGACAGAGAGAGAGGGAATGTCAAAGAGGTGAACATACAGAGAGAGAGAGTATGAAGTGAAGAAAGAGAAAAGACGAATAAACGAAGAAATTTCCATGTGAAAATAGAAAAATGAGTTTGCAGTTGTCATATGCAATCATGGTCATGTCCTGATTGTATATATCGCCTCAGGCAATTCAGCTCAATTCTGCTGCAGTTTTTCAGTCGCTTCACCACCCTCTATCCATTTCTCTCTTTGTATGTCCCTTGTATGTACTCCCCTCCTTCTTCCCTCCATCTCTCTTTCTCTCTCTCTCTTTCTCTTTTATGCATTTTTGTGAAGAGAGAGAGAAATGGCGTTGAAAAGTAAGAAAAGACTTTCATTGTATCGTCGTTGTTTTTCATTTCCTTCAGCTAACTTACAACCTCCTTTTACGTGTTCTAAGCTTCATGTAAAAGCTTCTTTTTTTTTATACACCAAATAAGGCAGACTAAATTCTATTCATTGCTTACATTTTTCGAAAATCTTATTTTCTCCTTGTTCATGATCATCATTCAGCTCATGAGCACATCAACATCACACCGGTTCACATCATTGATCTCCTGTTCAACTGTCTCTCTCTCTATATTGCTTGCCCTTCTATCCTTCAATGAACTTGCTCTATCATGATATTCATTATGTGTTGTTGTTGTACTTATCACGTCCTTCGTTAACTATATACATATAATTACCTTTTATTTAATTATATTTTTCAATTTTTCATCGAATATTTTTACTTTTAAAAGTCAATCGAACTTCCATATGGGTGGTCCTTTTCATTTCGCTTCAGCTTTCCTCCAACTTCCTTATGAGGTACTTCAGTACTCCCCCTTTCCATCTCTCTCTCTCTCTCTTTCTCTCTTTTCCTCTCCTTCTTTCACTCTCTAACCTTTCTATCTGTAAATTTTATTCAGTAGCCTTATGTTCATATTCTTTTGTTTCTTCTGCAAAGTCCATCCGACCTACCTTCTCTCGTAACTCCTCTCCTTCTCTAGTTTGCTCCATTCGTACAGAGATTCATTCCAAAGGTAAACTCCTCCCATCCCATCTTCCCAGACCATTCATTTCATTTATGTATTTTGTATTTTCTCTCTCTCCACTCCTTCTGTAGACCTCTCATATTCTTTCAAATCAATAATCCCCTTCAATTTCATCGTTGCTTGGGTGAAAAAAAATTTTTTTTTTCTCTCACAATCGCCATTGACATTTCTCATTTTTCCTTCCTTTCTGTTCATTCCTCTCTCCACATATAGTTTCTGAAAAAAAAATGTTTTCCTTTCCATCTCATTGACTTTCTCACTCTTTCTCCATCTATCTCTCTCAATCTCTATACCTCTCTCTCTATAGATATATCTCCCTCTTATAAGCTGAGTATGTATGTATGGTGTTAAAATAGAAAACAAAATTGAAAAAATGACAAATTGAATGCGACCGCTCAGCACGTTCTGATCATCTGTGAATGAGGTTGTCAAGCGCACACGTGTCTTCACGTGTGTGATTTTGACGTAAAAAAATTTGAATTTTCTGAATTAAAATTTCATTTTTATGCTGATCTCTCTCTAATGCATTCTCTCTTAATCTCTCTCTCTCTCTGTGTATCTCCCTCTCTCCCTCTCTCTATCTTTTTTATGTAATTTAATACATTGTAACTCTGAAAATTGCCATTAAATTACATTAAAAACCTATGTGGATGAGCAGCAATTCGTTAAAAGTACAAACAAGCTTCATCTTCAGCTTCTCCTCTCTCCTACTCCATTCGAATATCTATATCTATATATACTATATATAAATATATATATATATATATATATATATATAGATTATGGTCGATTGTTTGCTACTCATGCCATTGCCTATGAGTAAGCATCTTGCTCAGGAAAAAGAAATTTTAAGAGAAAAAAATTTTTTTTTTGTTTATTTCATTTGATGCAAATTCCATTTTACTTTTCCATTTTTTCCTTCTGAATTCTCTTGTAACGGTATGTCTCTCCTCTCGTTCTTTCCCTCACATTCGTGTATTCGTCGTGCTTCTTCTGATGTCTCTTCTATAGCCGTCTTACCGTGTTCGACCTTCTTATAACCTTCTTCCCCTTCATCTGCATATTGTCTTTGATCAAATGCTTCTTACTCTCTGACTTCCTTATAATAATCCTTCATCTCACCTCTTGCTATTGTGTATATTGAGCTTCATCTCATTCATGGCTATCAGAATATTCGCTTCTCATCCGGTTATGAATCTTTTTATGTTCTTCCTGCTTTCCATCCTCTTCTACTTGTTCATCTTCTTCTTCATTCACTTGATCATCATCATTATCTCATTTACCTATTCTATGTGTATGTGTGTATGTGTGTCTAAGCTTCTTCTCCTTCTTCCTCATCCTACCCATCTACCTCAGCTTAAAATATGAAAATGTATACTTCAATACAAAAAATATTTTAATATTTCTATTTAATGTTATTTGAGATGTCAATAGAATGTTCTTCTCTTCATGTTTTGTTTTCTTTTTCTTTTTCTCTCTCAAAACATCAAAAAGAAAAAAAGAAAATTAGAAATCTACATAGATGCATAGAGGTTCACTCTCTCTCTCTCTCTCTATATATATCTCCCTCTATGTCTTCTTCCCTCCCTCTCTCTCTCTATTCTACTTGTGGGAAGAAAATCTAAAAATATCTTTCTTTTCTGTTATGAAAATAATTTGTTTCTTATGAGTCGTTCGTTCAGCTTCTTCGTTTTCATCTTCATTTCAACCTGATACTTCCTTCCGTTCTGTCATTTTCGTCCAACGTTCCATTCCTATGAACGTACGTTCGTACGGTATTATTGATTGATTGTGCAAATGCGTATGAGCCGTGTGTATGAAAATGAATAACTAGAGAATCGAGAGAGATCGAATACCATGTAAGTCTTCATGGTAGAGAATAGGATTTCCTTGTATGGACCTGATGTCTGTATGTGTTTTTGAATTTTTCTTTTTTTTTTTTCTTTTTTTATTGTTTTCTATGGAATTTGGTTATTTGGTTATTTGCATTTCTTTTGTTATATTATATTCTTGTTTTCTTCCTTATTTGGACTATGACACCTTCTGCCACTGCAAGTGCATTGCATTGAAACTTGTGAAGAACAATCAAAGGGATGACTTTGAGATTCTTGTACAGCTAGCTCTCTTCTATGATCCATCTACTTCGTCATTCTCTCTCTATTCATAACTCTCTTTTAACATTTTCATTCTTTATCCCCCCTTCTTTCTATTTTTTCTCTCTCTCTCTATAAATATCTGTAGATCTCCTTCATGCGCTTAATCTTCTTGCTCTCCCTTTCCTGCCCCCGTTTCCCTTTTACATGAATTTCATTCCCTCTCTCTCTCTCTGATTCTCTTCAACTCTCTTGGTATTCTATTCTTATAAGGGAAATCGCGCCAAAAGGACAGCTTGGGCGATGTCATTTCTTAGAAATTTTTCAAATAGTTTTTGGAGAATTTTGAATTAAAGAATAAGAATGAATATGACGATGAAGTGAATATCATCTCTTTCTTATTCTCCTTCCTTTCCTCTCTTTCTCTCTGTATGAATCTGTTCCTTGACAACTCTCTCTCTTGCACTCTTTGGCAATGCTAGTCGTGTGCTCATGGCTGCAGCAGCAGGAGCAGCCACATCCCCACGATTCACAAAAATTTGAGAGTCTTAATTGAGGGAAATCTGTTTTAGAAAATTCGTTGGAACTAACAGATTGAAGCTATATGTTAAGGATTTATTGAAAAAGCTTTTTACGGGCATTGCATCAAAGCTTCAAGCTACTGACGTTGCTACTGACAGAGACGAGAAAAAATGGGATCTGGAATAGGCAAAAGAGAACGCAGCACAATAGAGAAAATGAGAAATAGAAGAGAGAATATGAAAGATAAAGAGAGAGTTAAAGAATGAGAAAGGAAAACGCAGGCAAAGCAATGAGGCAAACGATGTCCTCCGTTTGGCAACGAGGCTATAGAAGAATGTCTGCTTTCCTGCCAGCTTCCCTCTCTTTCTCTCTCCAGCAGATTCCGTTTATCTCGCTTTCTCTCTTTCTCTCCCTCGTTTCGTCTATCCATTCCTTGACATGGTTGTTTCTCTGTCTCAATCGAGCTTTTTTTCTGTCCAATTTCTACGTCTCTGTAATGCTCTCATTGAATTTCGTACACTTTGCATAGCACACGAGCTTGCAGCAGTCGATGTCGACGTCTCCAAGCTGCTCCAACCTCGTCGTTCTTCTATCTTCTCATCATATACTATCTCATTTTACTCTCCGCCAACGTCTGTACTCTTTCTCAAACTCTATTGAGCTTTATATACACCATATACAGACAAGCAGAATCTAGTCCTTCTTCTCCTTCTTGTCTTCTAGCTCGTGGACGACAACGAGACGAGAAGAAAAAAAAGAAGTTCGGACGACGACCTCGACGACGGCTCTGCCCAGTCGCTAGCTATTGAAGTTTCAGCTTCAACTAGCCTCTGATAAAAAGCTTTCACATCCTTTATTGTAGAAGCTGATTATTCGTTTTGTCGTCATATCCTACTAGACATCTTCAGAATATTTGAAAGACAACGACGAACATTTTCTTTTTTTCTCGTTTTTTTTTGTTCATCGACATCTTCAAATAGCAACACTACGCGACTGTGTGTGTGTGTGCGTGTTGTTCCTCTGTGGTGTCTTTCTATTCGGTCTTATCCGTCTATTCTGCTAATCACAATTAACAATTGTCTATAAGCCACACATCCATATCTTACTAATATGGAAATTAATGCGAATGAGACGGAACGATCAATTGTTCCTACGGAGAGCTCCAGCTCCAGCTCATCTCGTGCTCGCTCTGAATTTCCGCGCAAAATGCGTCTCTTACGTCATCTATCCGGTTTATTAGAATCTAAAAAAGGTTAGTTGCATCTTCTTATCAAATTCATATATATTTGGGTAACTTGTGTATATGTGTGTGTATATATGCATCTATCTATCTATCTCCTGTGTATCTATGTGGTATGTGTGACGTCTCGCTCAGCATACGTCATCTCGTCTCAAACATTTTGTATATTTTTCTTTTCATTTTAAATATAACTTTTGGCAATATTACAACGTGTATTGATTATGAATTTATGAATTTCATATTTGGTCACAGCTCTCTCTATCGCCTGAACTTTTCTTTTTCAACTTTGCAAAGCTCAGATAATTGAGGAGAGAAAAGGAGAATTATTACCTTTTAAGCATTTCTCTCGCTCACCCTCTCTCTCTCCTTCTATCTCTCTATCTCTCTCTCTCTCTCTTTATCTCCATTTTTTTCGTTGTTCCTTTCTCTCTCTCGCTCTCTCTATCTCTTCATATCCCCTTTTTTCTCGTTTCATGTTGTTTATCTTCTACTAGTATAGCTTTTCCTATGCTTTACCTCGTAAGGCTTATATCCGATTATAAGGCTTTCTCCCACCCACCCCTATCACTTCTTCTCAGCTTCTTCAACTATCTCAGGTCTTTCTGACTCTTCAAGTAACTTCCATCAAGCATTTTTACGACTTTTTTTTTTCCATAATTGGAATTTTTTAATTACTTTCTTAGGCATCTTCTTCTCCTATCTCACATGCGCATTCTCTTTCTCCCTCTCTCCCTCTGTTTGACTCACTTCATCGGTCTGTCGGAATTTTTAAACTCATTTCGAATAATTTTTTTCTTCTTCTTCTTCTTCTTCTTCTTCTTTTGCTCCTTCTACTGGTCTTCTTCTTCCTTCTTCATCTTTTTCATATTTTTTTTGCTTCTTTATCATCATCTTCAGCTTCTTCTATACTTCTTTTTCTTCTCTTTTCTTCCACACCACCCAAACTACCCTTCCTTCCCATCGTTGCTCGCCCTCTCCCCCCCCACCCACCCACCTACCCCTTCTCTCTCTCTCTTTCACCCAACCCGGCTCCTTCTGCACTCTTCAACTCGTTATCGTTTTTGGCATAAAAAGGGGGCTCAAAAGAAATGTTTTGTTGGAAAATACAAAATAAATTCTTCAAAACGATATTGTTTATTTGTTTTTTCCTATAAAAACGGATTCTTCTTGCTTTCATCATTATCTCTTTACTTTTGATAGATTGAATTTCAATTCTGCCCTCCTTCTATGGGATATCCTTCTCTCTCTCTCTCTCTATCTCCCTTTGTATCCCTCTATATCCTGTGCTATCTCTCTCTCTCTCTCTCTCTTTATGTTCTAAAAGAGAATATCCTTTCCACAAATAACTTCCTTCATTTTCTTCTTATTTATCAGAACTTGAACACCTATTAGAGTAGGAATTTCCATATTTCTTATGTAATTTCATTGTAATCGAACAAAAGCTCATTGGGGCTTGGGCAACGAAAAGAAGGAGAGAAGGGAGTTGGGAAAGGGGGGGGGGTAGGTTTGGAGAAAGGGGCTGTATGTGTATGTATGTATGTGTATGTGTTATGTTCTCGTCGGCAACAAGAGCTTCAAACTCAACGCATAATTTCATAAATGGTTGTAATACCCATGTTAACTACATGAACGACTGTTCGTTTTTGTTATTGAGTAAGCGAGTGAATGAATAAGCTGATAATTCATGTTCTCTCTCTCTCTATGTCACACTCTCTTAATGTCATTGACTCTTTCTCTTTCTCTCTCTCTCTCTTTATATATAACTCTCTCTATCAATCTTGCTGTACCTCATGCTCCCTCTTCTATACTACTGCTCTCGTCTTGCTATAATTGAATGGAATGAATTGATTTGACTTAATTCTTTTGAAGTTTTTTTTGTTTTCTTTTCTTTCTTTCCTTCACTCTCTATTTCCCCTTCTCTCTCTATCTCTCTCTATTCATATATACTCTCTCAAATGACTTTCTCATTCTCTTTGTAACATTATGAATAACGAGCTACACGTAACTCACGTGTGCAATTATCGCGTGAACTACGTGAATTAATGAGATTAACTTTCATTTTGATAAGATGTGTTCGATAGCGCGGTTGCATTCAGCATTGCTGTTCTCTGTTCTTTGGCTGTTTTCTTTTGTATTATCGTTTGCAATTGAACTTGGTTAATTAAGCCATTACATCCATCTTAATTCGTTATTCGTAAGATTAAAAAGGACTTTGTGGTGGATGAGAAGAAGAAGAAGAAGAAGTTTCAAATATTTTTTGGGAAAGGGAAATGAGCTTCAAGTTGTTGATGAGCTGGCCTGGATGGCTGACTGGCTGGCTGCTTGGCTGGCTGGTGTTGCTGCTACTGCTGCTCTGTCATTGAAATTATTTGTTTTTGACTTCATAATTGAAAGGAAAATTAATTTTTTTCTTCTTCATCTTCTAGTGCTTGTTCATCCGTTTATTGCAATTCCTTTTAGTGCTTGATAGTAGATGTGTTAAAGAGAGAAATGGAAAGAGTGAGAGAGAGAGAGAGAGATAGTGAATACTAGATAGGAAGGAAAGTATCATCGTGAAAGAGCATATACTAACCACATGATAGAGCTTGTCTTGCTTGGATTGGCAAGGAGGGAAAAGCAATAGAAGAGTCAAAAGAGAGAGAGAGAGAAGGCTTAAGAGGGAGCATGTGAAAGAGATACCAATATGGGCAAAGAAAGCAACTGCGTTTGTTGTGTTTTTTTCTTTTCTCCTCCACTCTTGCTCCACCAACGTTGATATGTAAAGATATTTGTGTAGATGAAGAAGAAGAAGAAGAAGGAGGAGGAGATGAGCTAGAGTAGTAGACGATGAACGAACGAAGCTTCTCCCATAGTTCACATCAACGACGATGATGTTTAACACAAAAACTCAGAATAATTGCATGTTTTTTGCGATCGAAAAAATAAAAAACATGCTCGGATTCATGAACTTTGCTTCCTCTCCCTCTCCCTCTCTCTCTCCCTCTCTGTCCCTCTATCTCTCTGAGGGTTGAAGCTTGAGCTTCATCTATCTTGCCTAAGTCATATCGTGCTCATCCTTCCTATCGTTACACCATAAACTGTCAACGATAACGGCTGTCGACAATAACGACGACATGGTGAACACAGACGACGTCCGTTGACGTCGACTCATCATCATCATCGTCGTCGTCGTCGTCGCCATTTTCATTGCATTTTATAATTCTTTTTGCTCTTTTTTTTTCTTTCATTCTTCTTTCTTTTATTTTCCATCACATCATTAATATTTGTGAAATTTGAAATTCCGTTATTTTGCATTTTTGGTTCATTTGAAGCGAACAGCAAAAACATTTTGTATGGTTTTATGAAACCTTTGCTTTACTACTAACTTCCCTCGCAACCACCCTACTCTCTCTCTCTCCTCACCCCCCCCTCTTACTTCACCTAACCACTTCACCTCTCAACCACCCTGCTACCCGCCCGCACCGCCTTCCCTCCCTTTCTATCCTTCCCTCAGGGCTATCTACTCCCCCTCTTCTTCCTTTCCTTTCCTCCTCTTCTACCCTTTCTACTATGATCTGCTCATCTCCTATTCTTCTCTATGCTCGAAAAGGTAATTGTTACAAGTTTAGAAGAAGTTACATATATTAATTAACTCCATCGCCATCTTCGGATGTAGTTGTCTTCTTGTCGTTTTTGACTCTTCCTCTTCTTCTTTTTCTTTCTTCGTCTCCATCGTCTCCTCTTCATCAGCTTCATTCCTTAGCTCATCACTTGCTGCTTACCCATCTCCTCTGGCTGGTTTCCCTCCTTTGCAGCTTTGCTAACCCCCTCCTCTCTCTCTATGTTCATGTCCTACTTCCCTCTATTCCTCTCTTTCTGCTTCTTTATCTATTTAATACTCTTTTTCTAAAGTAATGCTTAATGTTTGTTCCGAAGCACTTGGAATCGATCTCTTTTCTCAGAATAATTAAAATATAATAGCTTTCCTTCTGTCTTCACGAACTTCAGAATTACTTAACTTGTCTCGTCGATTTCTCTTCTTCTTCTTCTTTTTTTTTCTTCTTTTTTTTTCAATTTCATCTCATCTTAAGTTAATTTGCTAGCCGTCTGCGTCATAGCCAGTCGGCACATTATCTAATTTCAATTTATTCCAAGATATACATAGTCGCAAGAAAAGTATTTTGGTTTGTTCTCAGCTTCTTCCTTCAGTCTCTCTCTCTCTCTCTATCTCTTTCTCTCTCTTTCTCTATCTACTTCTCAATCTCTCTTCATCTTTACTGTTTCTCATACTTACCTCCAAATCCTTTATAATACTTTCTTTTCTGCATCGTTCCTGTTCTCTTTATAGCTGTGTGCATATGAGCTGTCGACGACTTCTCAACTCCTTTCATTACCTATCAGCTTTCCACTACTCTCTTTATCTCTCTCTCTCTCTCTCTCTCTCTTTTTTCCTCTTTTTGTCAAGTACACACCTAATATCTTTGTATATAAAAATATTTTTATGATATTCGCTCTTCTCTACCTTTAGTCTCCTTTGCAATAAAATCCGCAACCTCCTCTTCTCCTCTCTACCACCCTTCCTCTCCTATGCTTCTTCCTAATATCAGATGTTTCCGGTCTAACTTCTTCTTCTTATCTTTTCAATACTTTAACCACATGATCGATTGCTTCCTTTCATGCTTCTTCATTTATTTTTAGCATCTTATGGCTTTTCAGTTAAAAAAAATAAAAATAAAAATTCAATTATTCTTCCATTACAGCTAGCCCCATAACTCTTCTGTCCATTCTCTTCTGCCTTCCCCTTACTTCATTCATCTCCTTCTCTCCTGTCTCATCATCTTCTTCTTCTTCTTCTTTTGTACTTCTCATTTTGAACATGATGTTTCATCTTCTACTATTCCTTCTCTACCAACTAACTCATTGATAACATGTGCTTCATGAACTTCTATTCTCGAAATAGAAATATCTCGTATTGTATTGGATATCCTCCAAAGCTATTTGCTAACCTTCAACCCATGCCATGTCTCTCTCCCACTCTCTCTCTGTCTCTTCATAAGTCTTCTCATTTCCAACCCTCCCACCACCCTCGAGTCTCGTTTTTTTCAGCTTCAAATTCGTTCACCATAAATAGCCGTTGAAGCTGAGAGTTTGGGATACACAGAGAGAGAGAGACACATATGAAGAGAGGGAGAGGGAGATAGAGAGATTGAAAGTGAAAAATGAACTGAATTTCGGATAATTTTTCATGTAATGCAGTTGATGGTAGTAGTAGTGGTGGTGGTGGTGTAGGCGTTGTAGTAGCAATCTGTCTGGCAGTTTAAGATCTTCATTTTCACACCCTCACATTCGTTAATTAGCATACAAGAAGAGCATATTACACGTGTGACGTCACGTGTGCGTGACGTGTCATGTCTCTCTCTCATCTGATTCATTGTATATCATTTTACTTCCATGTGAACACTTGTGACCGGTTGAAGCTCAAAAAAAAAAAAGAAAAAAAAAGAAAATGAGAATGAAAGGCATTTCGGAAGAGAATTAGAGAGATCGACATTCGATTTCACGATATTTGCCTTTCATTTTCATTTGGTGCAATCTATCATTAACTATATCCATATAGTATAGACATAGTATACATATTATTATATTTATATATTTTCAGATCTGATGAATGATTGGGAGATAGGTGGAACGCAAAATAAATGGGTTTGTCCCAGCGACCGACATCTTCAACTTCGAGCACAGTAAGTTCTTACGTTCTCTCTTCAGTTTCACTACCTTCATCCTCACCTTCCCTCGAACACTCCTTCTTAACTATATCATATAATATGAAGTTGTATGTATAAGGATATTATAATGTTTACTTTTGAGGCTAAAAGCTGGATGGTCTGTTCGAACAGCAACAGCTCGGAGTCCAACAAATTCCAAAGCAAATTCGGGAATCACTGATGCGGAGCAAGAACACATTCGTCAGGTGGGTTGAGATTCAAACATTTTTCGTGTTTTTTTTATTTTATGAACAAAAAAATACATTTGTATGTGAACATTCATTCACTTATGCTCTCTCTCTGGTAAGCTCTCTAGCAGCTCTCCATATCCACCATTGTGAGAACGAATAGAGAGGGAGAGAGAGAGTATGAAAGAGAGAGAGAAAGAGAGTAAGTGAAAAAAAAGAGAGAATGACGAATAAAATAAGGCTGTGAAGACAATGACTAACTAACTGATGTGCGTGTTACAGGTTCTGGCAAAGGCAGAAGAGAGCCGAATGAAAGAAATGGAACGATTAGGGTGAGTAACATTGGCTCTTTCATTTACAATTTCTGTCAACGTTAACATAATGAGCATAGAAAGTTGTTTAATTATTTAATTATCATAAATTAGATGAGATAATTGTCTTCTTCTTCTTCTTTCCACCACCACCACCACCCTTCACATCTCTCATCAACTACGCTGTTGCGCTTGTTGTGTCTGTCTGTGTCGTCTCCTCATTGAGCTGTACCATACAGCTACATCCCACTCGTTTTTTTTTTTCTTCAATTTTTTTTTTGCCACATCAGAATTTGTCTCTCGTCTGCTTCTCGTCGTCTGACATCGTTAGTGATCAACCCTAACTAAGCGATGATGAGAACAGACCACCAGAAGAAAATGTTTTTTTGTTTGTTTGTTTTGAAGTAGAGCTTTACAGCTCTGGCAAGCTTCACACTCCCCCCTGCTCTTTCTCTCGCTCTGTATGTATACATGTCTCTCTATCTCTCTCTATCTCTCTCAAGACTCCTTCTATGGAAAGAAAAAGAAAAAAAAAATTGTTTTCTCACTGTCATGATTTTAATTTTTGTTCAGAAAAATGGTTGAACGATTGGAAAAAATGAAAAGTCGAGCAACTGGAAATGGAGTCACTCATTGTGTGTTATGTAAAACGGAATTTGGACTTTTAGCTTCAAAAAGCTATGCAGCTATGTGTAATGATTGTCGAAAAGTAATAATATAAGTCTTATATATATATACTATATGATATATACGATATGACTATATATGGCTATTGCAGTATGTCTGTCAACGTAATTGCGGAGTAGAAACAATGGATCCAACACGCGGCACTGAAATGATCTTTCTATGCAAAATCTGTTCGGAGGCCAGAGAGGTGGTTAGTCGGACGTTTTGCTACGGTGGTGGCTTTCAAATCTCTCTTTCTCATTTCCCTTTTTCTGTTTCTCTCTCTCTCTCTCTCTCTCTAGTTGTCTATCAACTCTCTCATACTCTTTTTTAGTTTCTTTAAAACTGTTTTTTGAAACCTTCTTTTTGGGATGCAAAATGAACATTCAAATCAAGATGTTGAGCCCTCAGGGCATTTTCGAAACATTACCTTTTGAGATGACAAAGTATTCAAAAAATCTTTTCTTACTCTCTATCTCTCTCTCTTTACTTCTATCTCTAATCTGCCCCGCCAACGCCATGCTCGAGAAAGAGAACGACAGATTTTGTTTCATTTTTTTCAATTTTTCTTTTAATTTTCAAAGAGACTAGATGAAAGCGTGAACTATCGTCTTTTCTTGAAGCTTCTGACATGTTTCATACATGTTGAGGGACAAGCTCAAACATCGTAAAAGCTGAAAATTGAAAAAGTGAAAAAATGATTTTTTCGTGATCGTGTGTGGTCGAAGTCTGCATGATGTCATCTATCAAGTTTTATTTTTTTAGTTTTCTGTTTTCTTTTCTTTGATTTTTCCCTTTCAACATGACCTCTGGTGCATCAATGAGCTTAATCACTTTTCAGCTGTGGAAGAAGTCTGGTGCCTGGTTCTATAAGGAATTACCGGAGTATGTTAAGCCTGAACCGGTAAGTGATGTGTTTTTGGATGTTGAGCACATCTCTATACACTTGTGTTAGATTGCTAATTCATTCTATTCTTCTAATGACTAATTGATTTTGGCATATTTTCAGCCGAATGGTAATGTCTCGTCGCCGCCAATGCATTCACGATCTGCCTGGGTGTTGGGAACGATTCCTCGAAATTCGCCTTCGACATCGTCTATGCCAACAGCCGCAGTTGCTAGTTCATCTGTATCTAATTCGATGATACCGCCCGAGAAAGCTCCCAGACGGCATCTTCCAATAGCTCCACCAGAGCCAAGGTACATCTATATCAATACCTATCCATGCATATGCTTTATATATCTTTTAACTATATGAATGTATAATTAATAGAGGCAGAAGTCACTCATCATAGGTTTAACAGATGATATACAGCTTGAGTAGCTTTTCGTGTGATATTCAGCAATGCTTAATGCATTTCCAGCTTCAATGCTTGTTGTGTCATCTTCTTTGATATCATTCTGATCTCATTACTCTCGCTCTCTCTCTCTCACTACTAATCCAAAGAAGATGTACTGCTTGAATAACATAGATTACCTCAGCTTATAAGTAGACCATTAACCTCCCTTCTTACTCAGTCTTAACTTGGGCATGTCAATTAACAATTCCATTAGACGAAATTCGCCCTTTAAATACCTTTTTTTTGCATATTCTAGGTCGAAATCACCACAATCTTTTAAATCAGCCAATCGAGCACAAGATAAGACGACGAAGATAGTTGATGATGATGACAAGTAAGAACTGCACCTTCGTGTAACTCTTTTTCTCTCCTACTCTCTCCTTCTCTCCCTCTCTCTCCATCTCCTCAATCTAGTATTTACTGACGTCTGAACAAAAATATCTTTTCTACCCTTTCGTATGGCTATTTTGGTTACTTTCCTTCATCTACCCACATCATTCATCCATCTATCGTCCATCAGCAATCATTGGTCCCAGAATTACTTGAAAAACAACAATTCTCTTCCTCATTCTCATTTTGGCACACTTCTGTTTTCTTCATCATAATGCTATGTTCGTTTCAGAAGTTCTTCCGATGGAGAATTTGTACAATCTGGAGTTCCAAGAAAACCTCAACGAACTCCGTCAGCTAATCGGCGAGAAGCTAATTTGGCACGATTTTCTGCTTTACAAGCAGCAATTAGGGATAATGATAGTGGTAAGATTGTTTGTCATTCAGATTGCCATCTGACATATCTGTTTGTTACAGAATCTGATGATGATTCGTCTCCTGAATCACGCGCTTCGACAAGATCGACATCACCTCGAAGATCATTGGCTACTCCGTCCTCGTATGATTCTTCGCAAAAAGATTTGCGTCAGAGTGATACGATAGGACCAGATGATGCCCGAAGCATTGACAGCGGAGGTAACAGTCAGTATCCCTTCTTCTATCAGCTTCAACTATGTTACAAATAGATTTCCTACTTTTTGTTTACTAAAAAAAACAAATTCTCTACTCTCATCTTATTATTTTCATTTTCAGTCGTTCAATCGGACCATTCAAACCCTCAGGCAGCTCTCACCTTGTCAGCTTCATCACTTGCTCCATTAGCCAATCATATTAATGACAGTACTTCCAATAGTCGCATCAGTCAGGATTATACCAATGCACGTATTGCTCAATCAGCATCAGGATCGAGTCTTGTTACTCCACCACCCATTCCACCTCGCACAAGCAGTCCCAATAGAGCTTCCGATGAGCGTCAATCGTCCATCGATTGCACTCCCTCTATGAAGCTAAGCTTCAGGTTCGCTTCTAACAACATTACGTTATTTTAAGGATACTTCTTTTCAGCTCTGCTGCAAGTACGAAAAGAGCTGGAACATCTAGTGATAGTGTTAACGTTCCTGCGGAAATTCCGAAACCTGCGGTAAGCGAAAACCATCTTCGACACGAAGCTTATTATGTTCATTTGCAGCCAACCAGGGTGGAATCACCGTCTGCATCGTTTATGAGTTCTCCCGATGATGATTCAAGTACGTTCCTTCATTTACAGTTCAAACATATCGCTTTGCTTGGTGTTCATTTTACCCTTTTTGCGTTTTTTTGTGTAAAGCTGCCAACCCATTGTGTGTGTGCGTCATTAGAAAAGCTTCCATCCAGCATCATGGAATTTCGGATTGCGTCAGATCTCTAGAAGCATAAGAAGATGAAAAGAAAAGCTCTTCTTCGACAGAAGCTGTAGCGAAGTTATTTTGTCCTTTTGATGGCGTTTGAGTTTTTAAGTTTTGCTTTACCCTTGTTTGGCTCCTCTCCATTGCCTCACCTCTCTCTCTCTTCTCTCTCTCTCTCTCGTACTTTATTCCCTCATGTTTTACCTTGTGTTTAATTGTGCCTTTAAGTTATACAAAATGCTACCGGAACATCACCAGTGTTTCCTCCCCCTTGGCACTTTCACGAACGTCATGACAACCGTAATAGTCATCGTCATCATGCACATCACCATCATTCTTCACTGCGTGGCCTTTCACTCAGCACATTAGTCAGTTCAGACACATCACGATCTGCACGACGTGGTGCTCGTGTACTAGATCGAATAGATACTTCACGTCTACCAAAAACAGTCTCCATGACATCATTCTCAGACTTGATGCCGTGTCGAGCTGATCGTACAAGTCAAAGTAGCAGAAGCGAAAGCTGTGATAGCAGCCATAGCAGTCGACGAAGCAGTCAAAGCAGCAACATCAACATTATAAACTCTGCACCGCATAATGAGAAGCATAAAAATAAATGCAGAAGTAGCAGTCCAACTGCTCATAGCTCTGAATCAATTGAAATATCACCGATTATACATAATTCATCTTTGCACCTGCACAAGCACACTTCCTCATCATCAGCATACTTACAACCAACGTCTGTCAGTCATCCAAATCTGACAAACTCAAACCTTACATCAGATAGTAAGAGTGATGATGAGGATGCATTCAGAAGTCGACGACAAAAACATTCTAACGGTACATTCCAACGACGACGACATCAATCACAGCAACATCATCGCTCATCGGAGCATCTAAATGAAAGCCATCATCACAATCATCACCATCACCACCATCATCATCATCATCACGAAGACGACAACAACGACGACAATAGTTTGGCCGGTGCGACATCTCGTAGTTCTTCTGTTTCTTCTTCTATCTCTTCCGAAACATCTTTTTTTATTTCTGAGCATGAGCATGTACAACCAAAACGAAGATTCCGTAAAGCTTCTCGTCTTTTCACCTGCTTTTTCGTTTCCAGAAATCGTATGTCATCATTTATCATTTACAAAATTATTTTTTCTTATAAGCATGAATGCAAGTTTAAAAGACGAGTTGGTTTTCGTGTAGTGTACTCTGTTTACAATTTGATTTTCAACGACTAACTGCATGTGTGAATGGCTTTCAAACTGTTTTTCTCTTCTTCTCAATTTATTTTTTCAACTTATTGCAAGAATACTTTCAAAACTATCCTAATTAATCTTTAAATTCTTTCTTTTCAATCAATTGGATGTCTTTCGTCTTAGAACGAAAGATGTTGTTGATAGAAAGACTTAACTGACTAGTAGCTTGGCATCATCAACTCATATCTAATCAATTGCTTTCAGGTACCTTGGGATCTATTCAATTTAGTCTTTTGTACAGTCAATTAGAAAAGAAATTGGATGTCCATCTTATTCGAGCTAAGGTTTGTCATCTGATTCTTATCCCTTCTTACAAGCTATGTGTTTCTTCCAGAATCTCAAAGCTATGGACAGCAATGGCTTCTCTGATCCATATGTGAAGCTTCATCTTCTGCCTGGCAATGCGAAAGCAACCAAGTTAACATCAAAAACGATTGAGAAGACGTTAAATCCTGAATGGGATGAACATTTGACTTATCATGGAATAACGGAAGAAGATAAACTTCGTAAAACTTTGTAAGTTCTTTGAAATTCCATCTTTCTTCAAAGCTTGTTGGTCTCCTCACTTCATCCAGTCATCATTCCTTCTTCAGACGAGTAACAGTGTTGGATCGCGATCGTATAGGCTCGGATTTCTTAGGAGAAACACGCATAGCTTTGAAGAAATTACCAAACAATCAGCTGAAGAAATTCAATCTGTACTTGGAACATGCTATTCCCGTAAGTCGTCGTTCCGTCTTTCACGAAAGCTCAATTCTGCAGTTCCAGGTTCAACCATCCCGTCAGGATGATATGAAAGAAAGAGGCAAAATCTTTGTTGGAATACAATATAATATCCAGCAAGGCTCTTTGTTCGTAACATTGAAACGATGTGCTGAACTGATTGGAATGGATTCCACTGGATTCTCTGATCCATATTGCAAAGTGTATGTGCCATCATCACGTGTATGAGTATACAACTGTTTCCTTTTCAGATCGCTCACGCCTATAACATCCAAGGCTCATCGTCAGAAAACGTCGATTAAGAAGCGAACGTTGAATCCTGAATTCAATGAGGTTATTCATATGACTTGACATCTTTCATCATAAGCTATACTTCAGACTTTACAATTCATCGTTCCATTCAAAGATCTGCCTAAGAAAACACTCCAAATTGGTGTTTATGACCACGATCTCGGACGTCATGACGACTACATCGGTTGGAAAACATTCAAAAATATCTTTTTTTACATCATTTTTCCACATTTCCAGGTGGGATTCTGCTTTCAACATCAGCAAAAGGTGAACGGGGACAACAATGGACAAGCTGCATCGAAAATCCAGGGCAATTGTTTGAGAATTGGCACAAGCTCGAGCTTGATTCATAACAATCCAGACAGTTATACAAATTGGAGCAAAAGCAATACACTTTCACTTTAAATCAACAAAGAGCAATTAGCCATTGGCTGTTTGTCCTTTCTTGAAAATGATGTTCATCTGCCTTCATGTGTTGTAATCCCACAATCTTTCTCCACTTAGACATCCACACTTCCTTCCTTCCTTCCTTCCTCCAATCACAGAAACATACACACATACACTGTATAAGCTCAACACTACAATTGAGATGAGAAAAGAATAACAGAAATCTCAACATCGATTCATCTCCCTTCTTATCATGATCAAAGCTCACTTTATACAAAAATATTTGGAAATCTATACTCATATAACCAATCAGCTAGAGATAACTATATCTTCCATTCCATATATATGCTATATATTATATATATATAGTTAACTATAACATAATCAAAAGATGTTTTCCCTTTCTCTCTCTTACATGTTCATTCATTCATTCGTCTCTCTTCTCCAATAGCATTGTCTTACCAACCTAGCAGAGCTGCTTCTAAGGTCTTGTCATCAGCTAGTGTAACCTTCTATCATTCCTGGTTACATATTCTTCTGTTCTTCTAAATATTCTTTTTCATTTCATACGCATGTGCTTCTCTTCAAATTCGGGTTCCATTTATATATATATTTTTAAGATATAGATATATACACACACATATATATATATATATAAATATATTCCAAACGAAATAAGTTTATGAAACTTTACGTGCTTTACAAGCAGCTCTGTCACTATCCCATCTCTCTCCCTTTACTCTCTCTCTCTCTCTCTCTCTCTCTCTCTCTCT